ATTACTGCAGACTTACTACTAAATAAAGTAGAAATAAAGCACAATTTGTGGCAATGCTAGCAGAATCTAAAATGTAATGTGTAAGCTGTGTAGAAGGAAAGCGTAGTAATAAAGCATGTAATATGTGCACTTTAATCCAATAATTTAAGCATCACCTTCACACTATTTTTTTATCTAGTCATTCTTGTTTAACTCAAGGCCGTGCTCAGTGAGCAGCACAGTGTGACATGTTCACTGTTACATTCACGAAATTCTCTGATATTTCTTCATCCATTAATAAACGATGTAATGAATTATTTTCTAGAAATGGTAACAATATATTGCGGTATTCTTTTTCTGGTTACGTCTAGATCTTGGGGTGAGAAATATGAAATTCATACTGATTTTACGTTTCACTGATTTCTTGAAGAAAAGCGAAGAAGGAGTTTCATATTAATTCCTTTATTGGATATTATCCCACAGTGAGACTGTACTATCTTATTGATGACGTTACAAACACAATTTGTGTAATGTGATTATGAACAATTAATTGTATTTGAAAAGTCGTCCAGTAAATAGAATCCTTTTGCCAAGAAATGTACCTATTAGACGAATTAATATAGTATTACATACATACCAAAGTGCCCAAGTCTAACGAAGGACAAGTATTGTCCCTATTTGTGCCTAAATCCCTGTAGAAAGCTTATAACCATCTGAATGAATTTACTTACAAACTTATAAAAAGAGCCTTTGAATGCTGATTTTCTTTCAGTCTGCTTTGCACCATTCTGGTACCGAACAGAAACAAATACGGACAAAATTTATCAGATAAAATAGTAGTAACTAAATATTAAACAGATAAACTGTTAACTCACTTCCAGATGATCAAGATGTTTTAAGTTTTGTTTAAACAAATACTCATCACTTTCATTTGAGCTAGTCCCAACGGACATGATCAGAGTCCTTAACTCAGCCATACCAGCTACATAAATTCAACAACTTCTTGTCTTAAAAAAATTTCCACTTAGACATATTGGTCTTTCAAGCGCATTCTCAATTAACTGAGTCTTTATGGGTTGTGTTCCGTTATCAGTAGTTACACGTAAGGGAAGCTACTAAGTAAGTGGCACCTAGAGAATATCAAATTTGGTAAGGTTTACCAAATGTTATGTCATAACAACACACCAACTGGCTTTGATACAAACAGGCAATCTACTGACTTACTGAGACATTAATCAAGTGTACATGTACAACACTATGGTGTGGTACATGTTCAATTTAATTTGTACATTCAACATTCTTAGAACCTTATCTAACGATCTAACCTACAATTTATTTTCATCTGAAAACTTGCCTATTTCTTAGGCTACAAACACTTGAAATTATTTCACAATTAAAGGGATACCATATGTAGTTTCAATATTCAATAGTTCACTCATTTTAAACTTATATAAGCTTCAGCTTATTTCATGAAACTTATCCGTATGAATTTGTCAGATATATTTTATGAATTTGACGACGTGTACGCTACACATATGTGTATAACTTGAATTTATATAGCATAACAATACTCAAATCCTGGAACTGAACTCGATTTGGCTGTCTAAATTGTTAAGACAAATCTGTGTACCACTAGCTATTTTCTGTAGAAAAGTAATGGGATTTTATTTATTTCCTCGGCAGTAGACAGTAGTTCTAATCGTTGTGTGAGTACAATTTAAGCATTGATAAAAAAAGCATCACTTTGCCAATCCCTAAGATATTTCATGGATAAATTATACTTCAATCAGTCACAGGAGTATAATGATTTCTTAAAAATTGTTCTAATTGCTAATTTAGTTATTTTTGGATGTATAATTGAATAAAAATATCATTAGGAATATAGAATTAAAGAAAGCGATCTCTCTGGTCTATGTTGTATGATGGTTCTGTGTGTATAATTCAATTCTGCTGTAGGTCATGAGAGAAAATGGTTGAAATTACTTATTTTATATGCGAACAATTGAAATGAATTTTCAAAGTTTGTCCCATTGTTTTTATGAACAAACGACTGTAAAATTACATCTGAATGGTAACATTAGCAAGTAATAAAGATAATAACGATAATAATAATAATAAAATCACATTACAGCAAACTAATTAAACTCTTGTCTTAGACTTAAAAATATGGACAAGTTTTAGTATTCACCAGTCGATGTTTTCTAAAGACAACAATTCAATTTGCAAGCAAATACTAGCGTAAAAGCAAATGCATCTGTTCATAATTAGGCTAATTCCAAAAAATATATTTCTTGCGCATTGTAGGAAGAATGACAAAAAAACAAAGTATGCGTGATATTTTGTACCATAGTATATATCTCATTCTATCAGACTATTAAAAGAAGGTTTAGTGAATAGTAACTGAAGTACAGTATGCATTTCTCCCCCCTCCTCACAAATGTAAAATGATACTACAGAACGGGTCTGCAAAGAGTTGAGCTTACGTCAACTGAACTGTCTATTTTGGAGATGAGATTGACCCTAACGCTCTTATTGACAGTAGGATCTCAGTACGGATAAATAAAAAAATAATAAGATATTATTTATCTCTGAAAGTGTACCTATATATAAGTTTGTCGTCTCTTACTTCTCGGCTGAAGTGTATTCACTAAGAGCGGATACAAAAAGCCCAAATGTTTTTAAGCATTGGTAAGTTAGTGCTGTCTTCGGAATAATGAGGTATAACAGAATAAAAAAGGGTGTGATTTGAATCAGTAATTTAAGAGAAGCCAAATGAAAGCAAAATATGGCATTAATCCATATAAGAAAGCGTAGATTGCTTGGTTATGGATCTCAATATATGCTAAACGAGTTCTCGGAGATCACTGACCAATTTCCTCAAGGCTATTCACAGTGATATTGACTTGATTCTTTCCTGTCATCATTAAAGTCTTAGGCAGAGCGAATTTTCTTCATTTAACTATTTCCTGCTGACTACACTCAGGTTTGTCGACTGGTTTATTTCCGCCTACTCACTAAGTGCTTTCGACGTACGGTTGGATGAAATGAATTATTTATATGCTACACTCTGTGTTCATACTTTTGTCGTTAGGCAAGTGATTCAGCCATTATGTTTTAATTGTTGCTTGCAGATCATGTATACTTTCGACTACTAATCTCAGCGATCCAACTTATTAATTTCATTTATGCGATCGATGGCTGTCTAGTTTTCAACGTATGTTAAGTCACTATAAATTATTTAAATTAATACCAGCGTCTTGAAGGAAAAATCAAAACAAGATTTTTCTGAACTTTTCGCTGTGTAAGCCACAGCTTCTTCAGAAGAATTATTCGGATTTTATTAATCATCAAAATATATAGTCAAACATTTTTTAACATAAATTGGGATTAATTTAAATAATTTATAATGAATCAATCTGAGTCGGCGCTCAAATTATTCCAGGAAGTTCGTAACACCTACGGTCTGGAAACTTGTATGTCAAGTCAGTTTACTAGTTAGGCGGAGATCGATAAAATTTTATTTACGGAATTTTTTTTTGAATGAAATGTTACATCAAATGATGGTAGAAGATTAGATATTTGATTAATTGGAATATAGTGAACTGGATCCATACTGAATAGTCTACCAATAAACACTGTGACTCATTAATAACGTGCGTCGGTGGCACAGTGGTTAGGACTCTCGCCGACCATGCACATGGTCCGGGATTCGAGCCTGCACCGACGCACACCTGATATCTATGGTCGGCCTGCGAAATTCGGGCTACCGATATCCATGCTGAAAATTCCATACTTGTACCGAAAATACAGTGTGGAATCAAGCTGTAAATAAAAAAAAACTGCTCACAAAAACTGGTTTGTTCAGCAAGCCTCCAGCGATGCAGTAGCAGAAGATTCAACAGTCTGCACACTATGTTTTTCTATAATAAGTAAACTGCTGAATACACACAAACATTACCCAGTGAATACTAATATAAATAATTTAATAACTAGAAAACCTTAGTCAAAGAACATCCAAAAGTTCAGTATATAGCCAATGAATAAAAAAAAAAAAATTTTCTTCCCGGAGGTAGGTATTTTTTTTTTTTACAGGATGAGGTTGCTAGCCTCATGCCCAACCTTTCCTCTTTACCAGGATTATACCTGGCTTAGCGAGGTAAAGGAGTGCGCCGGCCAGGAATCGATCCCCGGACCATGTGCATGGTCGGCGAGCCAATGAATATACATCCCTTTTAAATGATGAATAAGTTTTCATTCATTTTGATAAAATATCTATCTCACCAACTGAAACAACTCAAATCAACCACTATTTCTTAATAATAATCAGCCCACCAATTAAGTAGTAATTTGGACACTTTGGGATCTGACTACTTTACACTCTATTACAAATCGGTTCGTGTCTACTTTCAGCTCAGGAGTTCCAAGTTAAAAGTAAACGTAATTTCAGTACTTTCTACCTATCAATAATTCCAAGGATAATGCCAACTTATAATGAAAATTACTTGGCTGCACTGGGAATGTTGTCTACACAGAAAGTCAGAGTCTGATAGTTAAAACATCGAGGTCATGGAACATAAATACACCAATATTATTGACTTGAGCTTTGAATCTTCTCCATCATTTCTAAAATTACATTACAATCAATCGGTTTTAAATAAATCGGTCAACCAAGGAATAAAAACAAATGACATCATTGACTAATAACCAAAGCCAAATCACATGCTAGCTATAGGTAATTCATTAAATGATAATGAAAAAAGTTATTCAACTGTGGCAATCCTTGTACTGTACTAAAATGACAAAGTAATATCACATTTTCTATTTTCCTTTTTAGGCTGTACGATGGACAATGGGAGAGTGTTATCCCCCGGTGAAGAAGTTCGACTGCCCAACTTTCCGTGTGCAATTTGTCGATGTGATCCAAATACACGTGAAGTTGTCTGTGAAACAGAGACTTGTCCAACTTTACAATGTGGAGAAGATGAAGGACAACTTTTAGAACCTGGTCAATGTTGTCCAGAATGTGTTGGTAAATTTCATTTCATTTCTTCTGCCAATAAATGATATCACTATCGATTATTGATAAAATATGAATTAAATTTCAAAAATTAATAATTACTTTGTGAAAATTAAAACGACTCAGTAAACTATAACAATGCGAAATTGTTATGATGTAAAACATTTCACTGTAAGTGGAATCATAGGGGAACAGATGATTACACTGAAATAACTGGCATTTCTTTAGCTGTACTAAAAGTGTTACATCGTTTAATCGGTATTGTTAATTAATTTCATCCCATTTTACAGGAGTCAATTGTTTAGCTGGAGCCTACGTTCAGGGTGGACATAATCATTCTAGGTTGAGTCATAGGCTAACTTATTCTATTATTCAAGATTTTGGGTGACAGTAATACTGCAGAAGCTTATTCTCTGATCTAACACTGTTTAAGTTCTTACAGCGAGATACACGAGCCCATCTCATTCTGTTACGCATTTCACTTTTTTCGGCTTACTACTGTAAGCAAAATTATGGATAATAAACATTTAAAGGCGATGCTTAAGGGATTAGTTCGTTACTTCATATCACCTTATTACAGTTCATACTTGAGTGACCAAAGAAATCACTAAAATGGCATTGGTGACTGAGACAAACTGTTCAATTAGCTCTTTCTTTACAGCGTAGTAACCATGGTTATACGTTTTCAGACCGTAGGTGTTACGAACTTCCTGGAATAATTTGAGCGCCGACTCAGATTGATTCATTATAAATTATTTAAATTAATCCCAATTTATGTTAAAAAATGTTTGACTATATATTTTGATGATTAATAAAATCTGAATAATTCTTTTGAAGAAGCTGTGGCTTACACAGCGAAAAGTTCAGAAAAATCTTGTTTTGATTTTTTCTTCAAGACGCTGGTATTAATTTAAATAATTTATAATAGGTAACCATGGCAATAAGTGTTGGACAAGAGTTTACTCTGTTAGCTTAGTCACTAAGACTGCAGTCGATCATCTAACATACACCTAAGCCTTTATTTGGCAGCGAGTAAATTTCACTAAAACTTATTGTAATTAAAAACTAATATGAATTGTTGTATATCATGTGTTTTAGTCATGTGAGTATATACTGACTTTTACTTGCTACCAATACCTCAATAATCAAAATCTAGATTACGCAATGCCAATACTAATCATGATAATCCAGAATTCTGATGACTTAAACTGGCATAAGAGAAAAAAGGAAAATATTCACCATCCACTTATTTGAATGCAAATACTTATTCGGCTTTTAAACAGGCTGAAATGTGTTGAAATAATTGTGTATGTGAGAAGGATTTTCATCCATACAACACAGTAAAATAATGTAAGCTGTTTAGTAAGTCTCTGTTAACTGTTATTTTGCTAAAATATATGAACATTCAATAGAAGTGAAGTGAACAAGATACAAGGAATCTTTATTACGGCAAAATACAAAAAGCACTGAAAAATCATTCACCTTACATTCTTATAGTAATTTCCATATTATAAAAGCAACAGTAATAATAACAGTATTTTCTTTGTCCCTTTATTGTTGAACTATACTTAGTGTTTTTAACTTCTTTTCGCGTTTCTTCTGCTTCGGCTTTTTCACTGATATATGAATTATCACTTCTCCACTGAAAACATTACTTATACCTGAACATAAGTAGCATATGTACCACGACATGACGTAGTAAATAGCAGCCCTCCTATACTTTTTTCCGAGTTTCTGAGAAGTATAAACTTCTAATAACAACGATGATCAGCTTTGTTGGTGGAGACAGTTTAATTTCATTTAGGAATACAGGGGACAAGTGAGTTTTAGGGAAGTGTTAGATACACTGTGCATATATTTACAACCTTTAACATATGGTAACAATTATTAAATATAACTATGTCAATATTTAAGTAATGCGAATGGTCAATAATTTACTGAAGCAAAAATCAAATGTGTTCAGTAGAATAAAGCAGAGTTCTCCGTAACCAATTGACGTTGAAGTCCACCATAAAATATGCATAATCCGTGAAAATAGTAATATTCTAATAGTCTTAGATTTAATCCATGTGAATCTATGGGTGTAAAATAACGAGGAATCACAAAGGAAACAGGTTTTAACGGCTTTCTAGCCAACACAGGCTTGTGATGGCGTCAGCCTTGGAATCTTATTGTGTCAGGGTGTGTAACACTACCTGGGTACCCGAATACCAGTAGATGGGGCAGGATCCTAATCAGTGGCGTCCCAGTTGAAAATGAAAATCCCAAAACATGGAGTCATATCTGCTTGCCGTGTATACAATACTGATATGTAGAAATCATCCGGAAGTTGTAAACAAGACGATGCAATCTCGAATGGATCTATGTCCTTGTCTTCTTATAGATAATATTGAAATGGTTTGATTAGTTATATATAAGTCCTTAAGGCTTATATATAATAACAAGATAAAATTCTAGAGGTAAATTAGTGTTGTTAACGTTCTTGTCAACCATTCACTTTAAAGACTAAATAAATCGAACTGAAATCTGAAATAATTCGACATATGCGCTAAGAAGTTCGACACTGATCACAAACAATGCAGTTTTGGGTTTACTACTTATTATTGCTATTGTACTCGTAAATACTCGGATTCACAAACCATGTCTGATTGAAATCATTTTTGCTAATTCAATATCTTCTGTTATCATAATAATAATTCGTCTCTTCCTTACTGTTTTCTTTCCCAATTTAAGCGAAGGCTCGTACGGTAAGTGAACATTTGTGTTAATATCTTTGTAATCTTATTTGTGTAGAATTTATCTCATAGCTTATGATAGGCATGATAATATTTCACTCCTATTTATTATTGTCTTATAAAAGAAATTTGATTGTATATACAGCTTTGGATTACATAAACACCCTTTTTTAACTGTGTTATCAAAGCAATTTCCTCATTCAAAGGACACTTATTTCTTTTCTCTCATTTTTAATTCTTTCTACATTGACTTTGACCTTTATTAGACAGAATTCAATTGAGTGGGTAATTACTATTCAGATGAATGGGGATACAATGTAACACGAAATACTATTGGATATAAGACCCCAAGGTGTTGATAAGAGCATCATGATCATTTCATCTTACGGTGTACACCGTCAACAATATAAGCTCTGTTTATCAAGGTCCAGAAAGGCATTGAATTTTTTCTACTTTGATATCATTACAAAATGAGTGGAACAATATGTCACTGATTTGTTTGGTGGGATTTTCTCAACTGCATATAAACTGTAAAATATTCTCATGGTTTAATTCATTAGTGTGGAGTTAAGTGTTATTAATATTACATAAAAAGGGATAAAAGATGTGTTACTAACCTTTTTAATGTACATAAAAAAATTACAGATATACTTTAGAGTTAGGAACTGAAACTGTTAACTGATCTGTGGTGTCAAATTGTGAACACATAAGTAATTTGAATATCTCCACAATTTATTCAGGACATAAGTAATTAGAGCGAACAATTGTTTTCAATAATTTCTTCTTCAGGCTCTACAACTATAAATCCATTAAGTTTAGCATACAGTAGCCAGAAAAGGCAAATTAGAATTATAACAGAAGGTGTATTGTGGGACAAGTACAAGACGGAATGATAGCTGTTTCGATTATAACTTAGAATATATGTGGCCAATAAGAATATGAGATAAAATTAAATGAAGTACTTCGATTATGTCTATATATATATATATATATATATATATATATATATACTTCCTATGACTCCGAAACTAGGACGAAACGGCTGTCTAGTACTCCGTGCTGGTTCGCAGTGGTTCTCTAGCCGACATCATTTCGTGGTCAAACTTGAAACAAATCAAATCCCTATAACACAAACTCTTGAAAATAATGAGTTTAGTGAAGTGGAATGAGCAGGATTGTGCAAATAAAATAATAGGTTTCCAAGCACTGCATAAACCTAAGGCAATGGCCATAATAATAAGGGTCACAAAGCCGTAAAAGGTTCGAAGTAAAAGTGTGTTAATGATAAAAAGGAAAAACAAGGAAAAGAATGGAATGGAAATTAGATTGCCAGTGTTTATGGCCGTATTGTAGGCCAAGGTAAACGTAGTAGTTGTACATATTTCTTCTGTATAAAGAAACCAGGTCTTCCGATATTGATTTATTGATATTGATATACCGCCTCAGCTATTGACAGAACACGTAACCGAGCTCCTGTAAATAGATTATCAAGAGCACAGTAGATAACGGAGCTCTCCAGCTCCGGTTTTATTGAATGTCCAGTATCTACCACGTGTGGCAAGACTGCACTATTTACGCATTTGGTCACCCCTTTACTCAATTAAACAGGTATACTTTCATGTGCGCACATAGGTAAAGACTTCTGAGTACGGTCAGTTTAACTAAATACACATGAGCAGTTGAATTCTTAGAAGCGCATTGATGAGGCCATCATCAGTAATTTGTCCTTGACTCGCTGTGTAAACAGCGGTTAGTTGAGAAAGGGATTGCCAGTTTAACTGCAGGAAATTTTCTCTCTGTTGCTCTATAAAGCCAACATGCTGGAATGTCTGCTGCAATCTACCCTTTGTGACTTAAGATACAAAGGTTTATTACATGTGATATCCATCATTACCCTTTCTCAAGGCACTGACACGTACATTTTTAAAAAAGTAATCTTGATATCCACTTTCTTTTACTGTGAACTTCAGTTTACATATTTCGTCCCAAATGCATTCCTCTGAATATATGCATTTTATTCTATTACTAAGTGACCTAAATAAGTTCCTTTTGTATTAAAGTGGTGTGAAGCTATGAAATTGGATGTACTGACCCATCCAAGTCTTCTTTCTAAATAGGTTTCTTTGTAGATGTCCGTCTGTCTTCATGATAAGGAGGACATTTATGAAGTGTAAACTGTTGTCCTCTTCTTCGTCACAGGTAAAATGAATAGCCAGGTGGTCGTTATTGGCAGTATTCAAAAGTTTTGGCTTAATGCGATTACGTAACAGTCAAGTAATTCGGCTGATGAGTTGTCAGAATTAGCCAGGTCAATAGTATAAATAAAGACAAAAATTGAAGGGTATGAACTTAATTCGTCAAAATTGAATGCAACTAAATAAAAATCGATTAAACTGAAATAACACAGAATGATTTTTTCTCCCAAAATGTTAGGGTGGGATTGACAGTACTTGCTTTCTGAATGCACAAGCTCGATCTCAACAATTTAACAACTGCAGATTCAGAGGCATATATTAAACAGTGTGCTTTGACTTCTCTAAACGATATTAAAACACCGATTTCATGTCCGCTATATGTCATGTGAATATCGACAAAGCTATAGAAGTTTTTCGCATCTATCCCCCAAAAGTTCCTTGAAATACGACCACAAGTTTTTCTTTGTGTTTGTTTGATATAAAGACTTCAGCATATGTGAATTTGTGTATGCAGCTGGGGGCCACATGAAAATGGGACTTCTCAACCTTGATTGTTTTAGTAAGTGACTTGTTCTGTCAAATGTAACTAACTTTGTGCTTTGTACTTCTGGACACTTAGTCATCTTTGAATCCTGGTGTGAAGAAGACATGTCTCTTCTCCACTGTATCGGACCGTATATTCATATTTGAGGATTTTTGTGTTTATTACCACATTTTTGGCAATATCCACTGTCACATGAGTTCTTTATCAAGTCTGTCATTGAAACAAAGTTTTCTTGTAGGTTTAAGCAGTATTCTAACCAAACACCACCATGGTTTATCTGGCATCTATTGAAATTTAAATGCAGTTCATTCTAAAATGACTTAATATATCTCAATCTGTTGTTTGTAGAAGTCCAATAACCAGGAAGTGAAACCATTCATTTTCTCTATACTCCATAGTGAATTCTTTGTTTACATGTGTATTGTTAAAGGAGTTAAGAACATTAAACGTGTGTCTCATACTTTTGCGTATAATAAATATGTCATCAACGCACCTTTTGTTTTATGTGACTTTGCCTATTACATGTTTCAGAGTCGTCTGTTCGAGTTACATTCTAATAATATCTGCTAAGATAGGACCAGATTCTGTTCTTAACTGTACTGTATACTAGTCATTTCCATATATTGTATATATATCACCAAGCTTCTTAACTCATTTTATCCTTTTTATCGCGTCGTGTCCATTATACTCCATTGTTTACTCTAAGTTCCAGTAAAAACTTCATCCATTTGTCGGTGAATTCATTCTTGTTCAATTCAGTTAGATGTAACTTAGATATTCAGTTATCCTTGATGTTTCAGGCTACAAACTACACTTAGTATATGAAGAAATCTCGAATATTCCATTGAAAGTATATGGGGTAAGATTTGAGTCTGACACTGAATGATTAGTATAGAAGGGTTTGATGAGATAAGTCAAACTTTTAAGACTACCTTAGTTTTTCCGATTAATTTTTTTTGTATATTTGTTTCGGGATGAATAATCTTTATTAAGATGAATCAGAGCGGTGATAAAGAGAAGTCTTTTCATTAAATGCACAATAAATGTAGATGTCAATGCGAAAAGTGTAATGATCATGGTTAGTAGTTACTTCTAATTGATGTTCTTTACCTCAACTCATATAAGATAATCAGTTTACAGCATGAGCAATGCAAAACTGTTAGAATGGAATTGGTTTGAATCCGTGTTTTTCCTCTTTTTATGAACTAGGAACCTGCGATGCCACCGGCTACGCCGCGCACATACACAGAGATTCTAGACCAGAAAGAACTCCAAGACCAACTGCAGAGCCAGCATATACTCTACCCCCATTACCACCACCGCTACCTGACGGGCCACCAGGACTTAGAGGGCCTATTGGTCCTCCTGGACCTCCAGGGCCACCTGGAGATCCTGGTTTTGATGGAGAAAATGGATTGCCTGGTATGCCAGGCCTTCCTGGACCGGTTAGTTTAAACCCTTTTTTAGCATTTTATTACATCATTTTAGAAGTTACAATAGGTAGAACTGATTAATGAGACTTCTGATTCAAGTGTATTGCTTTTGCCTGATATAAAGTTCATCCAGATACACGATTAGTAATAGTCTTAGTTAATAAACGCAGTGATTTCTATGAGATTATTAATTAAGGCTAAAGAATTTAGAAGAATACTAATGTCCAACCATTGGCTACTAGTCTTTTATTGTGCCAGCGAAGCAAAATAAAAATATGTAAAATTTTACTTTTATTTTGCTTTATGTGGTAATGAGTAAATTAACTATCAGCATTCACTATAGCATGAACAGTCTTCACCTCGTGATATCATTAGTAGTACGTATGCATCTTGTTGTTATTCCACCTACTTTAGTGATATCCTACTAGGTGTCGAGCAGGCCACATATCGTTATCTGAATATTTCGAGTCTCAGAAAAACACCGTATGTGGTGAATGATGAATTTCATCTCATTTATTACCAGTTCCTCTGAGTGGCTTACCGGAATTCTAGTGGTTCCAACCAATTCAGCCCTTCTTGTTAAATCATTTCAGCTACACTATTGATTAACTGTATTCCAAGGAAAGAAAGCGGTTTCTCGGTGTTTAGATCATCTCAATGTGACCAGTTGATATATTAGTTAGTGTTATGTTGCATAATGTATAATCTATTATGATAAATGTTTCACGCAGAAATTTTACATATGGGCTAATTTTTAAATTATTCACTGCTAACATAATTTAAACACATTTCATACTACTTAATACGTCATTTCAGCCACCACAAGATGTTGACGAGTACATGCAACGTTCTAGGGCAATGGTTAAAGGTCCAGTTGGAGAGAACGTAACCATGTATCAAGATATCCGGGTGACGATGGTAAGCAACACACATTTTGTTAAAAAAGGATTAACTGTATGATTTATATTTCATTGAAGCAGGATTATGCTACCATGAGACCTTACACAGGTTAACGCTAAAATTGTATACCAAATACAGAATTATCTTAACTTGATGTCTTATGATTAGATCAAGTTTTGAAACTCTCTTCTCAAAACAATGGGTCATATTCTTAGTGCCATCTGAAGACATAAGGTAATTCTTGCATTTAATATAAGAGCAAAATTTATGCATCATTTATGGAACAATCAGTAGCAAGTTCAGGAGATAAATTTCAGGCTTATCAACCTCTTTTCAGTAGAGCATGTCTTCAACTATGCAAAATCAGTTGAAAGTACACCAGGAGGATAGGTCTGCCAGCTTAATGATGGATGACATAGAATTCAGTGAGATGTAGGGTTGAGACACATGACGTTGGCTACTCCCTATTGACCAACCAATCAGTTGTGGCATATTTTGACTCCACTATGATTTCTCAGAAGTATCAAGCGTAACGTTCAATTTAATACAGGGAGTATCTGTATTTTATTATTACAACTGATGTTTTTATGAAATTAGATTTAGAAAATTTAGAAAATAAATTTTAAAAAAACGAAACAAATTGAGCAAAGAAATATATTCCTTATCAGTTAGCTCCTCAACATCGGCTGGCTATACACTAATACATAGTTTCTCACATCAAAATGTTTTACCCATCAAGTGGTTATTTTAGTTAATCAGTCATAGGTATAGGGGGGTGAAGTCAAGAGGTTAAAGATCATGAAAACAATTACCTAGTAGATGTCAGTTAGTAACAAGATATCTAATTTTTGAAGGAGGAGTGAAAACTAATCAATTATAGAATTCAAGATAAGTTGATTTTTAGGTGTTAGCAACAAGTTATTACATGATCAAGAAATCTGCAAAGTACCAATGATAACTAAGAAGAATAGGATGACTCAGCAAAGTTACGTAAAATACAAACAAGTTAATTGTGAAAACGGTAAAAATGAACAAAGTGAAAAGATAGTTACAAGGGGAGAGGAAAGGAAAAGCCGTTTTAAATAGTATTAATACATATTATGTAGTTGGCCATGGTCAAAAAAGAGGCTGTAGAAATTTCTTTTGAACGCAAGTACAGATTTGGCTTGTTCAGATGAATTCCGATTGCAGCTGCTGTATGTAGAAGTCGTACTCGTAGACCTTGAGGCGAGAGGCTGGGTGATATACGATATTAAATTTAAGAGCTTTCGATAAAGAAAGGAAGACGAAATTTGCAGTATAAAATGATATCATTCTATTTCACAGGTTCTCATCATTTTATACTGCGAAATTCGTCTTCCTTTCTTTATCAAAATTTATCAAGGGAACCAAATGTATGAATTTAAGAGCTTTGTTGGAGTGAGTCGATTTGATGTCCAGTGTCGATGAGATGAGCTAGTATTGAGCTGCATGTAGCTTTATTCAGACCTTTTCTAAAGCAGCGTGGTAAGTGTTTAGAGATTCAACGATGAAGTTGTCTGATCGTAAGCCCTATCTAACTAGCTTAGATGTCTTGTTACTAATAACTATTAGGATTTCATCATGAGCTGACATTAGTTAGAGAACCATTGGAAAACCTGGGAGTACTGGACATCTGTTTCGTCCTAGTTTGGGACTCTTCAGAAGTACGCACCCACCGGGATTCGAACCCAGGACCTTCCGGTGGGTGCGTACTTCTGAAGAGTCCCAAACTAGGACGAAACAGATGTCCAGTACTCCCAGGTTTTCCAATGGTTCTCTAACTAATGTCAGCTCATGATGAAATCCTGAAACCAATCAAATCCCTACAAACCATCACTTGAATAATAACTATTAGTTATTTGTTTTGATGACCTTTAACCTCTTGATTTAATCCCCCATACCTAAACGCCGAATGACAAAAATAACCATTTGATGAGTAAGAATTTTTGATGTAAACATATATATTAGTGTATAGCCAGTCGATGATGAGGAACTAACTGATAAGGAATATATTTCTCTCCTCAATCTGTTGTTTTTTCTAAATGCGTAAGTGGGAATTTGAAAATTATTGAAAAATAGATTTCTGAAATGTCATCCAGTGAATAATACTGTTCTACTGAATGATGCATTCAACAAATCAGTTAATATGGAATTACACGCTACCAGGTTTCATATGTATACATATCATTTTTGTCTCATTTTATCCCTGAAATTTTCTTCCAACTTTATTGGCCTTCACTGATAAGTTTTATGAAACAGAAATACTTCTAATACTTATTTGTGAATCTTTAAAGTAATATTTGTAAAATCTCAGTGAAATTAAAATGAGTAATTCCAACGTTTCCCGCATTCGGTGAACTGGTCCGAACTTCAAATAAGGTATAATTATATTTCAATAGTTTACACACAATGATAGGTTTTGTTATTGGTAATATTTCGAGCAAAATTACTGCCCATGTTCACAACAGTGTTGGAATTGTTTTATTCCGAACTTCTTCAGGGAAATTAATGGAAATTGACATAACACAGGTGACAGAGCGGTTAGGACTCTCGCCGACCATGCACATGGTCAGGAGTTCGATCGTCTGCCGACGCACACCTGATATCTATGGTCGGCCTGCAAATTTTGGACTACCGATATCACATACTGAAAATTCCATACCTGCACCAAAATTACGGTGTGGAATCAAGCTGTAATCAAGAAAAAATTATATATAAAAAGGACATCTCTTGTTTTTAAAAACTTTGTCCAGCCATATGAGTCATGAATCAGGCATTAAAATATAATAAACAAACAAAATTGCATGAACTGTGATCAAAATTTAACCTCACACTAACAAATATTCATCTACCTTTGTTAAACACTTTAAACTGAATGTACTTTTCATCAGAATTTTAGTGATTGTGTTCGACTAAAAGATCATGGTTGTAGATACCTGCATATAATCACAGCTTATACAGTTTTGTTTATTATATTTTGATGACTACTTTGTGACTCATATGATTGGACAAAGTTTTTAAAAACAAAAGATGTCCTTTTTATATATAAAGCTCTGTTATGTTAATTTCGACTAATTTCCCTGAAGAAGTTCGGACGAGTTCACTGAATGCAGGAAACGATAGAATTACTCATTTCAATTACGCTGAGATTTTACAAATATAATTTATACAAATGTCTACTTCTCATTCGGTGCCCAGTTACTTTCGAACTATTCGGTTACATTTAATTCACTTTTAGATTTTCCCGTCGATTGATTGGACCGAAGTGCTCGGTCTCAGGTTGACATATCGGCTTCTTGTGCAGATGCTTCGACGATGTCTGGGCATGTAATTAGGAGTTAATTAGTGGATGGCATTATGGCACTGGGTTCGAGCCTCGGTGGGAACATCATCACTCATTGCGGAATGCAGGTACATACAGTGACGAGTCCCAAATAGGACGAAATGCGTATCTTGGATTCCACTGCTAGTCACCATCCACCAATTAACTTCTTATTTGGTCAGATCTTGGTCACAGTTCATATGAACTTTAAAATAATATATAAAATACAGAGAGAAGTTAAAACAGTGTCCGTTTAAACTTATTTTTACCTAGAATTTCGACATAGGTAACATTAGTAAATTGTATCTTTTGCTTATTACTGAGGTTCACTGTAGAAATTTAATTCTTCATAAGATTTCACCCCTCACTTTCTGATCAAAGAAGAAGAAAGTAAAAAGAGAATTTTAAATTTTCTGCTTTTTACTTATAATTCACTAATTAATATAAATAAAATCTATGGTATGAACTATGTTCTATCTTATGTACGTGAAATCATGATACCCGTAGGAGATAAAGGAAAGTAGTGCATGCATACTAACAGTAACAATCTTGTGATTTCTGGTACACATAAAATGCCTCGCAAATGCAGTTTATAACCTCTGCTAATTTCAGTCAGACGTTTTGGAATACTAGTGGGAATTACTTCAAGTATCTTAGCGGTTTTAAATTTACGAAAATGTCATATTTAGAAAGAAGAAATTTAAATAAGTTCCTCTAGATTGATTTATCGAGCTGTTGATTCATGAGTTTTCATCAGAAAGAAATAAAGTATCCGTCACTTACTTATGTTACCATAGTTTAATTAGAACTTCTTTACACTTAAAATTTTTTTACAAATAGCTAACTAGTCTGAGTAATATATCATCTATTAATGCACAAAATTTACATTTTTTTTCCAGGGGCCTCCCGGTGAACCAGGAGCACCTGGATTTCCAGGTGTTATTGGTGCACCTGGGCCAATAGGTCAAAGTGGAGTTATCGGAGATCCTGGGCCTTCAGGAAATCCTGGATCTAGAGGGCATCCAGGGCCTGCAGGAAATGATGGGAAGGCTGGACCAGTAGGTAGACCTGGATTGAAAGGTGCAAGAGGACCACGTGGAACGCCTGGAATCATGGGTGAAGCTGGACTTCCAGGAGCAATGGGTTTGCGTGGAGAACACGGAGAACGTGGTGATGAAGGTATCAAGGGAATGGCAGGTGATTATGGTCCAAAGGGACTTCCAGGGCCTGTGGGACCAAAAGGTTCAATCGGCCTACAAGGCCAGCGTGGTGAACCAGGACCCCGAGGATTTATGGGTATGTCAGGACCTATGGTAAGTAACTACATCAGTTATTCAGCATTTCTGTAATTTTGGAAAACAAATTTTGATAGCTACTCCTAAATGCAAAGCAATTTTCTATTTTACAAAATCTTTCTTCCAGTTCATTGATATCCGAAACAGTAGAACTAATATTTTAGGTCACAAGCATTAAATACTATGCTGTTATTTGCATAAAATTTCAGTAAAACAACAGTTAATTTAATTGCCTTTAGTATTACAATTCACTTGCAACTCATTGTATTTGTATTTAACAGAATTTAGAAAGTCATTTGACAGCAGTATTCAGAATGATTAGTGTTCTATGATGACTTTTAGTGAACTGCTATCTTATATAATGGTGTGGTCGAATAATGACGATAAATAACATATCTGAATTTATTAACCTGCTTTTTAAATTTACTCAACAACAAAAAAATGAGCCCGTTAGTCACCAAATAAAACCACTTGGCACTTTATGTGCTATGAGTACCATTAAAAGATTTTGATTTTGAAATCCTGGAATTCACAGTTATTTTACTACCCAAATTAATGAATTCTTAATCATAAGGTATTTCATAAAATAAGTTAGAGAATTTTCATTTTCTTGTTCTACAACATTAGTGAACTTAACTTCCTCTAGTCATACGAAGTAAAACATACTCATATAACTTTTTTCTTTTTTTATCTTATTTTGTAGGGAGTAGATGGGACAGATGGTGTTCCAGGAGCCCCAGGAGATCCTGGAGCACCGGGTCCCCAAGGTGCTCCTGGATTGCAAGGCCCAGAAGGACCAAAAGGCCAACCTGGTCTTCCTGGACCAAAAGGCGAAGTCGGTTTTCCGGGATCACGTGGAGATCGAGGTGCCCCTGGGCCATCTGGAAATCCTGGAAAACAAGGCGCTTATGGACCTGCCGGAGCTATTGGTAATAAAGGAGAACCAGGAGATCGAGGTCACCCAGGAAAACCCGGTATGATGGGAATCAGGGGTTTTTCTGGTGGAGAAGGAGAAGTAGGTCTCATTGGTGCAAAAGGACCAGAAGGTTCAGTAGGATTACAAGGCTCTCAAGGCTTACCTGGTCCGGAAGGTATAAAAGGTCGTCGCGGTGAACGTGGTCCAGCCGGTCCGGTAGGGGAGCAAGGAAGCAGAGGGATACGTGGTTCTGCTGGGCCGCCAGGTGCCCAGGGACATGAAGGCAGTAGAGGCCTTCCTGGTCTGCGCGGCCCTCCAGGACCAGAAGGTCCACCAGGTGCAATCGGGCCAGCGGGAGCTCCTGGCCTAACCGGTCCAATTGGTGAGAAGGGAGCACAAGGAGATATAGGACCAAGTGGACTTAGAGGTTCGACAGGCCCTCGTGTAAGTTCATGTTGCTTTAAGTATCAATATACTACATGTAAATTTTGTTCTTTTCGAAACATTTTAATCACCTTAATGCTAGCAGATATTTGTGTAGTTTTTAGCTGGCAGAACACGACAGCTCACTTTAAGTTAAATACGAATCAACAATATATGAGTATTGTCTAGATACTTGTAGATTCCATAATAAGCTCATCTGGCAATGAATAACTCTACTGAGTATATTACGGTTTCAGTTTCAATTCATTGAAAAACTGATATGATAAAAAAATATTTCTCAAACTAAGCATTCAAATCCTCATAGCTATTCCATTCATTCTGTGTTTTGTGACTAAACAGACAGATATGCTGGCTAGATATTTGCAAAAATAATGACTGAGACTTTTTCTCACCGATTAACTATCAAGAACGCGTATCTACACACTAATAGTGACTAGCTAATCCGGAAGCTTTCAATGTGCTAGTTAGCATCCTGTTGTGAACCGGATTTTAATGTCACTTTCAGTCACTGTTCATTTGATCAGTAGCAGTCAGCTAATTCATAACCCTGATCTTGTGTATTGAGCGAAGACAGCTGTTGATGAAGGTGTGTAGACTGGTCGAAGTGCCCTTCGTGATGCACTAAGTCTCTCATCCGTATAGTAGCACAGACTTCACATTATAGTTAAAAATCCGGATCTTATTTTTCATGCTGAGTGCTGTTGATCTCCACACAGACTTGAGGGTAATGAGGGCTTGACTTGCTTTCCCGAACTTCACTTTGATATCCTCGTCAGTTCCATCCACCTGTCGTTGAAACCATGCTTCTCAGGTCGTTAGGTAAAGGTGGTGACTTCTTTCAGATTTCTCCTACTTATGCTGATTGTTGTCTGTTGTAGTTGCCGTTGCTATTAGCCAGGAATCTTCATTACCTCTGTTTTCGCTAAGTTCACCTCAAGGCCCGTCTTTAGTGCTTCTTCTGACAACCTGTTGCTTTTCACTTGTATATCTTCCAGTTTGTGGGAAATCAGACATATATCATCGGCGAAGTCCAGATCCTCCAAGATTTTATGTGGGTCTATATTATGCCTGTTTCCTCGCTGGCCGCTGTCTGTCACTTTATCCAGCTGCCGCAATCAAGAAAATCATTAGAGATAGTAGGCAGGCTAGTCTTACTCCCGTCTTCACTTTGAAGGATTCCGTGAGCTTCCCATTGTGGATTACTTGGCATGCAACATTATCGTACAACTGCTGGATGAGATGTATAATCGTTGGCGATGCCCTGTAGTAGCGAAGTAGTTGCCAAATGCCCTCTCGATCGACGCTGTCGAAGGCCTTTTCAAAGTCGACGAAGCTGAGGTAGAGAGGTGACTGACATTCCAAGCTCTGTTCAATGATGATCCGTAGTGTTGCGATTTGACTAATTCATGACTTGTTCCTCCTGAATCCAGCCTGTTTCGGTCGAAGTTTTTCATTCCAGGGCTTGTTTGATTCTTTCCAGGATGATATGGCTTAGTATTTTGCTTGTGATGGACATGAGCATGATGCCACGCCAGTTATTGCATTGACATAAGTTTCTTTTCTTTGGCAGTTTGAATAAGTAGCCTTTCTTCCAATCCTCAGGTACCTTTCCCTCTTTCTACATCTTCTCCAGTAGTTGTGTCATCAGGTCCGCCGATGTCTCTGGATCCATTTTCACTATCTGTACCAAAATTCCGTCTGGTCTTGCGGTTTCTCCAGTTTTTAGCATCTTTACTGCCTTCAGGACTTCTGTTCCCGTCGGAGGGTTGATGTTCACTGGTAGTCCTGCTTCTACTATTGGTGTTATTGGGCGCTTTGTGGGTGGCGGTCAATTTAAAAGACTTTTGAAGTGTCCAGCCCAGTGTTTCCTTTGCTCCATCTCTTTGGTGACTGACTTTACATTGTCATCCTCCGCTGGCTTAATTTGTTTTGAACTCCTCCCGATAGGAACCTAGTTGTTTAGTAGAGTGTTGTGAAGTCTTCTTTACCTGCAGCTTGTTTTGCTTCACCTGCCATAATAAATAATAATTAATAATTTTTCCTTCACGTTCCCCAGTGGAACATAGGGCTTCAGGCTAGAAGCTTGAAGTTTCTGTAGCAGTGTTTATTTTTACAGGATGGGGCTGCTAGCCTCATGCCCAACCTTTCCTCTTTACCGGAATTATTTCCGGCTTAACGAGGTAAAGGAGTTCGTCGGCCGGGGATCGAACGCCGGACCATGTGCATGGTCGGCGAGCGTCCTAACCGCTATACCACCGAAGCGCCATAGCTTCATGATATTGTCTTGTATCTTCCGTAGCACTTTCCATTACTCTTTTGTTCAGTGTATTTCGGCTTTCTTTGTGGTTTTTCTTTGCTTATCGATGCATTGGATAATGTTTCTTTCACCATCCTCCTCTCTTCGATTAGTCTCCGTTTGTCTGTAGTGAGAAAATGTTTGTCGTACCTCTTCTTTCTGCCTAGAACCTCCATGCAGGTTTGACTCCACACCGCCTTCAGATTGTTCCACTGCTTTTCAACGCTGCTCACTTCGCTAGTGTTGATTTCTGTCTACGCCTTTTTCCTCAAGATTTTAGTGAAGATACCCTTTGTAATCAGATCCTTTAGCTTTTGAATACTGAACTTGTCGTGTTTGAAAGCTTTTAATGTGATTTGGAGTGTTCCTTGCACGATATAGTGATCCGAACCGACGTCTGCTCCTCTTCTTACATTTGTGTCCAGTAAGCTGCATCTCCGTTTCCTTTAGCAGCATTGAGATGAAGTCAGTTTGGTATCTGGTTCGCCCATCTGGTGACACTCATGTAGCATTGTAGATATCCTGGTGCTTGTATACGCTGCCGCCAGCCACTAGTTAATTGAAAGCGCAGAAGTCAGCGAAGAGTTCTCCGTTTTGATTCATCTCTCCAAGAGCTTTTCTATCCATAATGAGTTCCCTTCCTAAGTTGTCTGATCCCAGTTTGGCATTCATGTTTCTCATTAGTATTTTAATGTCACCGACTGCAGTAGTATCTATTGTTGCCTGTAGTTATCTATAGAACTCTTCTTTCTTTTCTAGGTCTGCGTTGTTTCTGGGCTTTGTCACTCTCCTTCCTTTCGAGTTGAATCTGGCGGCCATTATCCTGTACGAGGTCACCTCCCATTTGATCAGAGTCTTCGTCGTCGTTGGCGGCATCATGATAGCCACGACCTCGGTGTCTCGTGGTTGTCAATGGGTGACCGGAGCAGATCACTGACTTCTGTTGAAAATTTAAAAAATCCACTCCCATTCCATCTGCTTTCGCATATTCCCAGTAATTCAGTAGCACATATTCTCATCTCATTTGCAATCTGAGCGACTTTACCAGTCTCAAACATAGTCCAGACGTTCCATGTCCCCACACATACTTTTTCTTTAGCTTCAAGGAGACTGATCGTGCTGAAACTTCTGTAAAAGTTTTGTTTGCAGGGTGTGGTTGCTAGCCTCACGCCCGAAGAAGAAGTTGTTACATAGGGGTGTAAGTAATAGAGGAGCGACTTTTTGGGTTGCTCCCTTTAGAACCAGGAAAATAACAAGTAATTGGAACAAGGACAAAAATGTCACAACAGGAAAGGCAGCGACAATGATACCAACAGCAAAAGCCGTAGGAAAAATATCAATGTCAAATACAAGTACCGAAAATAACACGTAAACCGGAGACTCACTGATTTGGACCGACTTGGACATGTAAATCCAATAAAATATGCAATTAAAGATATTAGTTAGTTATAGTGGGTTTAAGTCACAAAACGGCAATTTCTATCCACAGGATCAGTGTATGAAAACAAAACAATTTAAGATAAATTTCACCAATTCCAAGTTGAGAATGTGATCCAATGGTACTATGTAACAGATGTATCCATTTGATGTGTTTAACAGTCACAAATTGGTAAACATTTGGCTACAGGTAAGAATGGATCATATCCACAGGATCAGTATTCGAAATTAAACCAATTACAATAAATTCTACCACTTCCTAGCCAGAAACACCAGAGAAACGAGAGTTTTATGTAACTAAGGAAATGTTACACACATATTAAAACAGAAACTTACTTAGAAAATATTAAAAAAATGTAAATATTGTAAATGCAGTGTGAGTTTGAGAGTTCACGCAAGATTCTTACTAAATACACAATGTTTGATAAATATATTTGACTAATTGAAGATTTACTTGTGAGGAAAAAGTGAACTTGTGTTGACACGTAAAATAAAACCACGAAATTCGATTGTTTTATAATTTTGTCAACAACACTAAACTAAAAACATCTGTAGATTCCAAGTCATAACTTTATACCTTGTTCAACTGTTTATTTAAACATGTGAAATTCACTCTGATGTTTTACGTGCCTACGAATAAATCACAGAGAACTATGCTTCTTGATTATAATCTAAGTGGTAAAGCAGATTACAACGTCTCAGTTGATCAAAACTGTCTACCACAAAAATAAACTAATAAATATGCAGTAAACAATAGTTTGTGGTGCACGGTATATTAGTTAGGTCACCATGGATCTCTACTTTCAATAGCTTGGATATGCATTGTGAATAATGTCTTCATACTAGCTTCGTTCAAGTCATTCACCAAGATGATGTTTTAAGCCTGACTATAGACTAATATTTTTTGGTATATCGCTCACTGAATGCAGTCCAAGACATTTTCACATAACTCAGAGCACACACGCTGGGGCGGTTTTGTATCGTCTGTTATAAAAAATAATAATTTCACTGAATAAACTTCTGTTAAGTATGTCTCCTATTATTGTTCTAGTATTTTTAGCATGATACATTTATTGACGCATTAAGTGTATCAAGTATGTGTTTAAATGAATGAATACTTTATAAGACAAGCAAAATGGTGAAATTAAACGATTCAACTTAATATTTCTCATAAATGAATATGATAACAATTCTCGTTTCTTTTTATTAGGGTTCCGTTGGAAATCGTGGACAACCTGGACCAACTGGTGAACCTGGTCCAAAGGTAAGCGATTGATAAAATTCTTTGAATTTTCCCTTTTGTGTCTGTACACGTTTTACTCATTTCACACGATGACTTATTCAACAGTAAGTCAAAAAGGAGTGAGGGGTATGTGAGTAGAATAGATATCCTAACAGCATTATTGCTGATTATTTTAGTTATTAAAATTTAGGTAGAGAGCAATTCATTATTCAATTTACTGACTAATTCCCGAATGTTTGGCTCTGTTGATCAAATTCTTGGCCACAATTACTTTGGTGGTAAATGGGTGAGGTGAAAAGTGGTCTAGGTATCTATCCGAATTTGTCGGCTTTCTGAAAATGTCTAGTTACATCTAGTTACTGAATAGGAAGATATTAGCAAGGAACTAAAATTGGTTCAATCCACTCTTGAATCAAATAATTATCCTAAAGACTTCATAAAAAGATATTTAAAATGTAAAGATAAGGATGATGCTGCTAAGAATTGGGTTAGTACAGCGGTGATTCCTTACCGCAAAGAAACATCCGATGAAACAAGACGAATCCTTAACGATCATAACATAAGTGTATTTTCGTGCAACTAACACCTTACACTCATGACTGGTGAAGGTTAAAGATAAAATAGAACAAGAAAACCAGCAGAATTGCGCATACAAGATCACCTGTGGGGATTGTAACGCCGTATATGTAGGAGAAACTTCCAGACAGGTAAATATAAGAATGAAAGAGCATAAACAATGTCTAAAGGTGGTTCCAAAGAGCTCTGCAGACTTGAAGAAGCTAGAAAACAACTCGGCGATTGCACTGCATTAGATAGAAACGGGACACAAAATCGACTTTGATAAGACTAAGGTTTTACAGAAAGGTTTTGGTTCATATAAAGAAAGACTGACTGCAGAAGCCCTACCTGCATATATGGGTGAATTCCAACAGTTTGAACAAACGTGAAGGTGTGATGTTAGCTGATGCATGGCAAATCCTGACTAATAAATAAAATTGGATATGTATCAACAAGCAGTCACACTTGATCTAAATTCCCGATTGTCTACGTTTTCTTAAGGAGAGAATAACAAGTGTTTTATGACTGTTCAATATATATATATATATATATATATATATATATATAAACACCATTATATACTGCATATACACATATATTTTAACAAAAGTAGACTGATTTTGAAAGTCTGAGGTCAAATTTTGATCACAATTCATACAATTTTTGTTTATTATACATGTTGATGTCTGTTTCATGACTCATGATTGGACAAAGTTTCAAAAACAAGAGATGTTCCTTCTATATATAAACTTCTGTTATGTTAATTTCGATTAATTTCCCTGAAGAAGTTCGGACCAGATTGCCGAACGAAACGTTGGAATTAATCATTTCAATTTCGCTGTGATTTTACAAATATAATTTTATAAATGTCTGCTTCTCACTCGGCGCTCAATTATTTTGCAATTATCCGGCCAAATCTTGATCACAGTTCATATGAACTAATTAAAAGAATTTAAGAAACGGTAATCTAATAATGTCACAGCAACTGAGGTGCAACCGTGTACTACCATCATGAAAGCATCTTGACAGATTAATGTGTTGGAAACTGTAGTGTTATTGTAAATTGTGCTTCTTTTGACTGTTCCCATTTTAAATTGATACCGTTTCCGTTTTCCAGTGATAGATATCATCTGAACAGATAATCTTCGGTATTTTACTGCCGACTTCTTCATATAAACCAGAGTTGTGCATACACATTTGAAAAGACTTGCCAACACAGTGGCAGTTTTTCTTAGAACAAGCTGAATGAACCTTTGAAGAGCTTCATAATCAGCAGCTATCAGTGCTTACTCCATGCACTGAGAAGAATTAGCAGTTAGAAGGAACAGGATGTTCATCTTTTGTATTAGTTTACTGCCAGTAGTGAATAGACAGAAGTTTTCTATAGAAACACACTTGATGTCGATATTAAAAAGAACTGCCATTTGTTTTGATGAAACGTCTTATTTATACACCTTGTTTTAGTAGAGCCTGTGAACTGCACAGCTTCATATGATATACAACAGAATATATTTATTTACTACTCTTATAGACAGACTATTCCTGAATTTTAATTCCTGGTTTCACAGCAAAGTACTGTATACTCCTTATAGGGTCCTCTTGGAACCATTGGTCGACCTGGTATTTCTGGAGCACCAGGAATTCCTGGCCCACAAGGTCCGCAAGGAGGACAAGGTCTACGTGGTCTGCCTGGATCAATGGGCAAGACTGGTGACCCCGGATCAGTTGGATCAAGAGGTCCTCGAGGCGACAGAGGGTCACGTGGTGAGCCCGGACCTCCAGGTCCATTTGGCCCATCCGGAGAAAAAGGCCAGAGAGGACAACCTGGTAAACGCGGTCCTATGGGAGCGGAAGGACGAGTTGGCCCAGAAGGTTCACCAGGAACACCTGGAAAACCAGGTGACCCTGGGCCAGTTGGAGAGCCTGGACAAACTGGTCCACCTGGACCTCCGGTAAGTGGTATATATCTTTATTCACAACTAGAAAATGTATGTCATTTTTAGTAAGGTTCCTCGGGTTTTTCACAGTGTCACACAACTTATGAGTTGCTCTGAATCAACTCTGGAATGAATATTACAGAAAGAGTGATTTATTTAGGGCTGAAGTTATGTCATGTCGATCATTAGTTTGAAGCAGTATAAGTCGAGAAGATCAGGTGGTCACGAAAACATATCGCAATATCATGTAGTGTTTCGATCAATTTAAATGGACGCATAACTGATTCATTTATTCCAGTGCCCAGAGATAAAGAGAAACAGGGTTTAACAGATGGCGATTCATATGAAATTTACTTTAACACTAGGTGTATAATACATACAGACTAGCGTGATACTGTTTATTCCTAGTTGCTTACAGAATGGTTTTTTTCAGTATGTTGTACACTGTTGCACAAAAATATATTTGGAATCAGGTTAGCATTGCAAGAGAAATAAGATTCGATGGCATCTCTGTACAGCTAACATTTTTCAAGAATAATTTAAATTTTTATATCTGGGTGAATGTAAATACTGATAACCATGTCATTTGTAGGATGCAGCGTAAAACTAATGACACATATACTCTTTATTATCAAGGTACATACTATTGTGATGATCGAAACCTATGCGTTGCGGTCTGAACGCGAGAAATCAATCTCTGCATTCTGCTGTATCCCTGACCACAACTTTCCTGGGTCACTCACAGTCACAAAATGCCCCGAAATCAGTAAAAAGATAGTTATTTTCGATAAAATCTGAGGTACTACTTAACAACAATTAATAACATCTCAAAAAGCAAAATTTTCTCAATAATGCCTATAGATACCTATAGAGATCAAATTAGTCCTTAGGTACAAAACAACTAGTGTACAGTGAAGTTATTTAACCAAATCAACTGTAAGAAATACCTGATAATCAACAAGAATATTCCCAACAAGTTAGGATCGAAACTCTGTCAGCAAGAATTACACAACAGACAATTCTCGCAGACAGTCCAAGATCAGAATGGCTTTGACTCTGTCAAACGAAACTCAGTCGTAAAAAACCGCATTATCACTGTTATCACACAGCCAAAAAGAGAAGCATTACAATTAGAGAATAAACAGGGACAAGGATAAATATTGAAGATTAATTCAAAACGTGATATACAGTATAGGAGAAAAACGGACAATAATTACAAAGTTAATTGGTCTACTAGCTCGCCTTGTAATCAGAAAGTCCTGGGTTTTGAACCCCGTTGGATGCGTACTGATGATGAACCCCGGACTAGGACGAAACAGCTTCTCAGTACTCGCAGGTTTTCCAATGGTTATCTAACTGATGTCAGCTCATGATGAAATCCTCCAACCAATCAAACAAAAGCCCTACAAAACCAATACTTCAAGAGCATCCAAATAAGGACCAATGTTGTAATTAGATTGTTCAAAAGGGATTTTGCAAGCAAATATTCCGTCACAGCTAAGTTGGCTGTTATTCAAAAATAAGTGTAAACAGGAGTATAGTGACGAGACATTCTCTTTCTTTACTTCTAAATTACAATACTGACTCATGTAGACTTTTTCCTTCAATATCAACAAGGGTTCATTTATTTGTTTTTGATGTTTTCAAGTATTGATTTTGTAGGGATTTTGTTTGATTGCATGGAGGATTCCACCATGAGCTGACATCAGTTAGAGAACCATTGGAAAACCTGGGAGTACTGGACAGCTGTTTCGTCCTAGTTTGGGAGTCTTCACAGTACGCATCCACCGGGGTTCGAACCCAGGGCCTTCTGGTTACAAGGCGAGCTCGTAGACCATTGAGCCACCGGCATCCGATCCAATGGTCCTTGAATTCTAGCTTCTGCCGATTCACGACCAGTAGGGTACAACAGGTTGAAGATGAGGCAGTAACTCATCGAAGAAGACATTGAGAAGTGGTCGCGCTATGTCGTGAATCGGCAGAAGTTAGAATTCAAGGACCATTGGATCGGGTCCCAGTGGCTCAATGGTCTACGAGCTCACCTTGTTTGGATGTCTTGCATTATTTAATCACTTGGGTTTCTTTCTGAAATTATAACCCTGTGAACAACTGAAAGTCATGCTATCGTAAAACACAATGACTAATGTGAGTACCACTGTAACAGTAGACTAGATAAACTAGTTTATGAAGTCGGGTGATTAACTTTCAAGATCTCACTGTGCATTATTAAACAGCATACCTTAAGAATTTAAGAACAGTTTCCAATCGAAGCTGATTTATTGCTAACACTGGTTCAAAGCATATCTGTGTTTAATCTTAACCGTCTCATCATGCGTTTACATACGAAAATGAAATTCTAGCTGTATGCAACTGACATTCGAACCCTGGTGCAATCACGGACAGTGACTGCTAAGAAGTTCAAAAGTGGAATAAGACAAAGGTCTGTTTTATCTTGGTTCTGAATGTTTCCCTAACCGGTATCAGTTTTTTACAGAATTCACATTGAACTTTAAATAATTTCACATAATTTGAAAAGCATATTTTGAATTAAAAGTCAATCTGAACGAAGAATATTCTTTTCAATAATTTCTCTTCAGGTTCATACAATTATAAAATATGACATTTGTGGTCGTTACAATAAAGGCCAGTTATGCGGCGGATGCATTTTTAACGTATAATAACAGATTAGTTATGTTGGGCGTTAAAATTAATAGTCGTGTTTGTGTGACAAACGTGCTAGGATGAAATAGATTCCGAAATATTGTCAAATGGGAGACAATGGTGTTGATTAATCATAATAGATTTGTAGAGTGTGGGGTAGGAAAATTGACAAATCAGTTCCCCTGTGTTAAACAGGGGAACCTCTCATTGTAGTCTCAATATCTCCTGTTCACTTTGTACTAGCCACTCACCTGACACCTTCTATAACCTTGAACTGATTTGTCAATTTTCCTACCCCACACTCTACAAATCTATTATGATTAATCAACACCATTGTCTCCCATTTGACAATATTTCGGAATCTATTTCATCCTAGCACGTTTGTCACACAAACACGACTATTAATTTTAACGCCCAACATAACTAATCTGTTATTATACGTTAAAATGTATCCGCCGCATAACTGGCCTTTATTGTAACGACCACAAATGTCATATTTTATAATTGTGTGAACCTGAAGAGAAATTATTGAAAAGAATATTCTTCGTTCAGATTGACTTTTAATTCATAATATGGGAATATTTCACACTATCAAAAGCATATTTATTTGAGTGTTTGGATGATCATTGTGGTATACTGAGATGCCTGTACAGTCGTACACTTACAGTGCGAAAAACTCACTCATTCATATAAACACCAATTTTTTTTTAGATATCATTGAAAGTAATTTCAGGAATCAAATATAGACATAACAAATAAGAGGAGAGCTAAATAAGAATTGTTCATGTTTTTACATTATCATTATTTTAGTAAGTAAACAAGATAGTGTGCCTTTTGTCTTACTTAGTTTCATCGTCGTCATCAACATAGGTGTAGCTACTAAGACACTGTCATCTTCTAAACAATTAAGAGTGAAATCATGTACGACTCCCTTTATTGATCATGAAGAAATAAAATTAATGTAGCTGAAGTAACTGTGTGAAAACTGTTCCACATATATAAATAAAATGATTATAAATATTAATCAGAACACTCATGATAAATATGACAATGTATAATAAAAGAATTACTACGTATTTTAATCTTAATTATTGATATGTTACTATAATTAATAACATTGAAAAATTCTTTAGAAACGAAGATTTTAAGGTAGCTTTATTGTTTTTAGGGAGAACGTGGAGCTCCTGGTCAAATGGGTCCACCAGGGCCCCCTGGGAAGGCTGGAGAGAAAGGAGCTACAGGTCCAATTGGGCGCGATGGTCCTAAGGGTGAAAGAGGAGAAAAAGGAGAAACTGGAGACAGTGGAACTACTGGAGTACCTGGACTAGCCGGCAACACAGGTATACGAGGCGAAAGGGGAGAAAAGGGTGACAGGGGACCTACTGGACCCCGAGGAGAGCCAGGACCGATGGGCGTTCCAGGACAAAGAGGAGCAGATGGACCAATGGGACACCCTGGACCACAAGGTCGTACTGGCAATAAGGGAATACAAGGGATCCGAGGCTATCAGGGTGATAAAGGGTCGCCAGGAGATCAAGGACCACAAGGCATTCCTGGGGATGTAGGCATCCCAGGACCACCAGGGCCACCTGGCTCTGTTGGGATGAAGGGTTTGAAGGGGAGATGGGTCCCCGTGGACCCCGTGGTGAAGCTGGAAATATGGGACAAAAAGGAGTTCAAGGGCCACCTGGACCTAAAGGGTTGCCTGGTTTACCAGGTCATCAGGGTGATAGAGGGCAACCTGGTGTACAAGGTGACCAAGGACCAGAGGGTCCCCTTGGAGAACCAGGTCCTCAAGGGCCACCAGGAGAAACTGGTCGACCAGGGCCACCGGGGCCCGCTGGACAGACTGGACCGAAAGGTGAAGCAGGAGATCCAGGACCTGACGGACCTGCCGGTTCAGATGGAATGCCGGGTCTGCCGGGTCCTGCAGGTGCTAAAGGAGAACGTGGTGATCCTGGATTACCGGTAAGATTACTGTATTTTAATTAGTCTCCACTTGTTATCAGTTTGCACCAATTAGTTTTTGTAGGGTGAATATTGAATAGTTATGACAAAATATCACAACCAGTTTGTGTTCTACTTCTTACATCATTGTTACTTAATTTGTCTTCAGTTCACACCTTCTGTAGTCATTATCAGTTTTCTCCATTTCTCACGTCTGCAACATCGTCTGCTGTTCTTCTACTTTAGGTTCCGGTATTTTAATCAACTCGTCAAAACGTCAGAATAACTGTAAACTAAGGGAGATGGTACATATAACATGCAGCCTCATTTTAAAATCTATAGGTCCTTTTCGGAAAAGAAAATATTTTAAGGTCACAAATATTGGATTTTTCTTATTATACAAAACTAAGCTGTCAGTCAGTTTTCAGGAGCGATGATAAGACATGGGCCAAATACTTCCAATTTGAGTAAGCACCCATTGAATATAAGTAAAAGTGAAGAATTCAAGATGCAAAAAGCCTCATAGAACATTCGATAAATAAAACATATGACATGTACTTTTGCTTAAATTGCTGCTCCTCCGTTTACTTTTCCTTTAGGCAGTGATTAAGTTTGAAGTTTGAAATAAATTATTGCATTCAATAATGTGTCGTTTTCTTTTGCTTAGGGTACGGTAGGACCAATCGGACCTGATGGTGATCAAGGGCCTAGTGGAGCCCCTGGGAAAATTGGACCAGCCGGACCACCTGGTAATGTCGGTAAACCAGGTGAAATGGTAAGATTTACAAGTAATGAAAGATCTTTGTCTTTTAATTTCTTTATTTGGAAGGACTGTAATGGAAATAAAATTATTACTGTTATTTGCGGTTTATATATATATATATATATACTTTTATGTTATGTTGCGCAGATAAGGAAGATAAGTTAATAATAAAATATAGGAGATTCCATCCGAGAATAAAATTCTCGAATAGTTTCAGAAAATTGACCAGTGAAATACCTTTCCTTGATATCGTGTGCTAAGGGTAGAGGTAGGGGAAAAGGGAAACAATGAGTTTGAATAGATGTTTGATAAATCAGTTCGCTATGCTTAGGATATCGTATGGTAGCCACATTAAAATGGTTTATTTCCTACGAAGTATTCTCGAATCTACTAACATTTAGAAGTAATAGTTGTTTAACTAAAATACACATCAGTAATTTGTCACTTGAAATAGATATTTGTATAAAAACGCGGTTTCACACTTCTATAATATGACTAGTAGAAAATGCCACATGGTTCATTCATATGGAAAGAATTCATTGACGAATAGATATAATTCCCAGAAAATTCCCATTGGAATACACAGAAAATCCAAACAAGTGATTCAGTAAAGACACTCTTCTCAGTGAACTTACTATCAAACTTTACAATCGTTTATAAATATGGTTTTCAAGAAAAAAGGTGTGAATAGACAAAGTATTAATCATAGTATGAAATGCAATCAAAATATTTGTGATTAAAATCATAGTTAGGTGTCAGTCAGTTGGCAAAACTATTAATGTCATATATAGAATAATTCAGGAGAGGTATAGACGCTGGAAGTGGGTGCAAAATTAAAGAATTAGTAGGCGGCGAATGAAAACATCACATAGGATGACGTGAAATTTGTTAACATAGAATTTAACATTATAAAAAAAAAACACTTTTTGATTTGGAATGACAAGTGAAATAATATCGGAATCATTTCGAATTGAGAATAAGCATAGAAACACTCGACACAATAACGGAAGGATATACGAATTGGATAAACAAAACGAAAAATGAGAAGAGCGAAATTCTGAGTTGGGATTATCACACTTTAGCATTGACGGATTAAGACCATAAGAGTTGGGGGGCGGATGGGTTGAACAAACCTTTTCTGTATATAGAGATCTGGTTTTTCTATCTTGACGGACTGGGTTTCGTACTGAATGAGACATGTTTAGAATACCGATGGAACTTGTGTGCTTTGCGTCACCCAGTGCTTCGGTAAGATATATTGTCACTGAGCTATTTAGTCTACAACTGTCTATTAGTATGACAACGATTGATATTTAGATTCGTCATTAGGAGCTAACCGTGTTTTGTACATTTTGATGCTTGTCAATAGGATAGAGGACTGTTAAAAGTCTTCTCTTAGCTCTTTGTCTAATTTACATCTACCCTCGCTGATTTTGGGAATTGTGCTAATTCATTAAATGACTAAACACCATGAAACAGGCATGTTTAGTTTACTTTTATGGTTGCTAGAAACAAGTCCAATTGTTTGAATTATCCTTTTTTATTGGAAATCATACACTTAGTGTTGTGGTTATAAAATGTTCAATTAGTGATTACAAAGAACCCTGTCATTTATGAAACAGTTATTCTTCAGAATATTGCTATTTAAATCCCTAAATATCCGTTATAGCTTAAAGATGTTATTCGTTTTTTCAGCTCTATGTATTTTATTTCAAATAAAATTCTTTTTATTGTGACTATTAAACTATCTAACTAAATTCTGAATGTTTTATGACGCTTACTGAAGTAAATTAAACTTTCTAAACTTCTAATTTTTATTCTGTTAACAAGGGGTCACCAGGAAATGCCGGTTTGCCTGGGAGAACAGGCTTACCTGGACCTCCTGGTAAAGACGGTCAAATGGGGAAACAAGGTCCACGCGGTGAAGAGGGTCCTCGGGGACCAGAGGGCAATCCAGGCATGCAAGGTCCGCCTGGATCTTCAGGCGTCAAGGGTCCTCCAGGAAGTAGAGGACCTATTGGTCCAATTGGCATCAGAGGACCACCTGGACTTATTGGACAGCCTGGACCACCTGGGAAACAAGGAAGTCAAGGGAGACCTGGTAAACCAGGTCCAGATGGATTCCAGGGGAAGCGAGGTCCTCCAGGTGATATAGGTGGACCCGGAGCTCCTGGCAGCAAGGGACCAGTTGGTGATGAAGGGGAACCTGGATCAAGAGGTGCAGCTGGAAACATGGGTCTTACAGGTCCACCTGGTGATGGTGGCCCTCCGGGACTTCCAGGAAGCCCAGGCTCTCGAGGACCTCAAGGACCAGTGGTGAGTTGCAGACTACTGCTCTGAAATATTTAGGCACTTCTTAATTTACTGTATATTTTAAAATTACATTCAATACTTAATGTAAATTGTTCCTTTAAATTATGGCCATGCACTAGTAATATTTATGGTTTTCATTCTTGAGACGTCACAGATTCCCTAAAACGAAACTCTACTTGCATGTAACACAGCATTCCTAGTTACAAGAAGTGTCTTTGGTATCCAGAAGTCTTGTTATATTACCATAGTTTATAACAATGCACCAGTGTTCTATGGGATATACGCGTTAAAACGGTCTCAGATTTATTTTATGGTTAGAAAACTTTCCACTTAGTTGTTTATTTCTTACGAGAAATGAACTATTTCACCAAATGAGCTCCTAAAAGAATAATCACTAGGACGTTGTGGTACTGACCTGTTCAACTGAACGCCTTCAAATAATTAAACAGATCACTAAAAGCTCATTGGCCACAGTCTTCCCTAGAGGGATATTAGTTCATATAAGAAATTATATCATGTTTAAGTGCATTCAAATGAATATTAAGCAGCGGGATTTCCTAAACGATAAGTTTACAGATTTAGAAATCGCTGATGTTTTCGCATAAGCACTTTTGTAGAATAAAGTTAGGCAACTGGCAACTCGATAAGCAGTAGACAAGACTGACAAGGCAATATTTATTTAATATAAAGATTTAAATTAGTCCGAATATTAGAATATTAACTTATTTATTGTCTGCTAATGACAATTACTCAAATGAAATATTATTAAGGCTAGATTTTAACAATTTTGAATAAAGCAGTAGTGAAATCTAGTCTTTGTCTTGAATGAATTTGTTGCACCTCTCTGGCCAAATTTCAGGACTCCATTGTGCCCACAGAGCATACTGCCAACCATTTTCCTACTGACATAGTCAATGAGACGCATAATGACATAAGTAAATGCGAATCAATAGGAAGGACAAACTATTTAATTAAAGATAATCAAATAAATTTTCAGGCCTCATGAACAAACTCTCCAGTATTGTATTTGAATATAGCTGCCCAAGAATGTTCTTCGGTTGTTCACTGGTAAAAATCTCTCCAACCACTCTCGCGGTCAGGGGTCGATTTTTGACCAATTCACTCCTGAATGTCATTCACTTCACCAGGCGGTAGTGAATCCAGGAAAGGGCCATGGCTGAGTTTAATACTACCAACTATATCCTATGGAAAACATCACCAAACACATTGGAACTTCAAAACTTGAAGCTCTATTTTTTTCCACTCCAAACGCAAAGAGTTGAAAGAAGACCTAAGGATGTTAGGTCAGGCAAATGACTCTCATTTCTGCTTGTTTTATTGCAGTAAACCGTGGACTCAATTTAATCACCAAAATGTTAGTGGTATTGCGGTTATTTCATCAACTTTTGTCACTAAGTGAGCATTCCAATTAACAGAATGAAGACTGATATTAGATGGTTGGGGGCGATCGGCAGGAAGCCTTGGACCTTGGTTTCGTGCTAGTTGGCACTCGTCAGCAAGGCGTGTCTGCAAACTTGGAGGGACTCACGTCTCGAGATTCGAACCTGTGTCGCCTAGTGCTGCAGTCGGAGACGTTACCACTGAGCTATTTGGGCTCTCAATTGCCCTTCTGTGGGACTGTATTGGATACTTTGACTGGACACTAATAAATTAGTTAGTTACTAACCAGTGTCCAATCAAAGCAGAATGAAAATCTAACAAGTTCATCGATTTTTATAGCTAACTTTAAATGTTATGAAGCAGTTACAGATCACATGGAGAAGCTGTATTTCTCCAAGGATGCCTATGCTTTCCGCTGAAAAGTACAAACAGGGTGAAGCAAGATGTCATGTTGGCTTATTCTTCAAAACTTTTAAGACAAGGAGTTTTAATGGAAAAATGTGATTTTCTGAGGGCATTATCTTTTCGATGAAAACTTTCCCAATAAATACTAAACAAGAAACACATTGAAATTCCAAACTAACGAAGCGCTCAAATTGTTTATTAGCAAAACTCAGAATTTCTATAATTAGTTATACCAGGGACTCAGTGCTCATTGTCCTTTAAACCCACATGAAATTATAAAGGAATTGGAACTGTGTCTACACTCCATGTTATTTACATTTAGAGGGGTTCTTTACCGTCAAACAGAAGGCAGTGCTATAAGGTCACCAGTGTCTCCGTTAGTCACCAACATGCTTACGCACTCATTAGAAATAAATGCAACCATGAGATGCTTCTCCAAGAATGTTGTTAAGAAACGTGGATGATACTTTCATCATAACCGAACGTAGTATGTTGAATGAAATTTCCCATTTAATAAACAGTATGACAGAAACCACTAAGTTTTCCAAAGAGGTTGAATCCTAAGAAAATGATTTGGCTTTCTTGACCTATTTAGTAAAAAAACAACCAGATGGTAAATTTAAAATAAACATTTTCAGAAAGCCAACAAATTCGGACAGATACCTAGACTACTATTCAGCACACCTCTTTACCACTAAAGTAACTGTGGCCAAGAGTCTGATTAACAGAGCTAAATGTCTAGTTACTGAGGAGGAAGATATTAGCAAGGAACTAAAATCCACGCTTGAATCAAGTAACTGCCCCAGAATTTTTATAAGAAGATATTTAAAATGTGGAGATAAGTATGGATCGAAACCTGTTGCTAAGACTTGGTTTAGTACCGTGGTGACTCCTTAATGCAAAGAAACATCGGATGAGATAAAGCTAATCCTTAACAGTCATGACATAATAGTGTGTTTTCACTCAACTAACACCTTATGCTCATCACTGGTGAAGGTTAAGGATAAAATAAAAGAAGATAACCAACATAATTTTGTGTACCAAATCAACTGTTGGGACTGTGATGCCGTATATGTAAGAGAAATTCCCAGACAGGTAAATTTAAGAGTGAAGGAGCATAAACAGTGTCTAAAGGTAGTTCCAATGACTTCTGCAGACTTGAAGAAGCTAGATCGGCTATTGTGATGCGCTCGATAGAAACGGACACAAGATCAACGCTGATGAGACTAAGGTTCTACAGGTAAGTTTTGGTTCGTATAAAGAAAGACTGACTGCAGTAGCTTTTCATATATGGGTGAATCCTAACAGTATGAACAGATGTGAAGGTGTGATGCTAGCTGATGCATGGCAAGTCCTGATTAATAGATAAAAATGAACATGTATCACTAATCAATCATACTTGATCTAAATTCCCGATTGTCTGTATCTTCTTATGGAGAGGATAACAAGTGATTTACAATTTCTTTCTCATACACACACACACCACTGTATACCGCATATACACAGATACTTTCATATTCAGTAATCTCAGATCATGAACTTTAGTCGAACGTAATTAATCAAATTCTGGTAAAAACAAACACACAGTTTACAATGTTTAACAAAAGTAGACTAATATTTTTAAGTCTGAGGTCGAATTTTGATCACAGTTCATGCAATTTTGTTTGTTTATTATATTTTGATGCCTGTTTTATGATCCATCCATATAACTGAACAAAGTTTTTAATAACAAGAGATGTACTTTTTACCCATACACCTCTGGTTTGTTAATTTAGATTAATTTCCTTAAAGAAATTCGAACCACTTTGTCGAAAGAAACGTTGGAATTGTTCATTTCACTTTCTTTGAGATTTTACAAACATAATTGTAATATTGGTTTTGTAGGGATTTTGTTTTGTTTGGTTGGAGGATTTCATCAAGAGTTGACATCATTTAAAGAACCATTGGAATACTTGGGAGTACTGGACAGCTGTTTCGTCCTAGTTTGGGACTCTTCATCAATACGCATCCACCCAATGGTTCTCTAACTGATGTCAGCTCGTGATGAAGTCCTCCAACCAAATAATTTCTATCTATTGAAGAAATGCATACTTGCTAGCTTTAACATCTTAATGATGAGATTAGATAAGTTGGGAGAAACTGAAGATGTTGTATAAATAATGATTAGTATTTCATTAGTGTTCTAAACCTAGAAATTTTACATTGGGATTGTGGGAAGTGCTTCGATCAGTTAAGGCCCTTAGTTTGACGACATCATTATCTTATTCGTCGGTGGTTGACAAATAAATCTCTTAAAATCTTACGTAATCTTACGTAATTTATAGGAATCAAATTCAGAATAAATTGAAATGCAAAAAATTATTTATCTCCAAATATGTTTAGCACAATTTTCTTTCTATTTTTAGGGTGAAATAGGTTTAAAAGGTGAAACAGGTCTTCCAGGAATTCCAGGATCACTTGGACAACCTGGACCAATGGTAAGTAGTAGAATATGTCTGAATATGTTTATTTATTAGCACGTTGACCTTGATAACTGATAAAAATACATAACTCAGACTAGTAGATCAAGGTCAGTTAGATTATTGGGGTATAGAAATTTGTTTAGAATGATTGACCCTGCTAAGTTCAAAAACCTAGAAAAAAAAGCTCAGCCATTGTACTGCATTCATTTGCATGTAATCACACAACGACAATAAGGAACAGGGCGAGAGTATTAAAAAGTATTATAGTTAGATGGAGAGAGAGGTTAATCGCTGAGGCCATGTCTACCAGTTCAAAACCGCACACGTGTAATCGGAATGACGCAACGCCTATTCTGGAGATATGGAAAGTGACAACAAACAACAAAGGGAAGTTGGGGAGAGAAAAGAGAGAAAACGTGAATAAGACGAATTGTGAAAACGTGTGACTAAATTGATATGATTATAAGCAATAATTTAACCGTGAAACGTCATCAAATTGTTAATATTGAAGCACTATGTGATCATTAAAATAAACTTATCTAATATGGAGTTACATTTTACCTAAGTGCCTAAATTTAAAACTTATATTCTAATTACTGTTTGCATAATTAATTTAAACGCTTACTAACTCTAGTTATCCCATTTCCAAAATATTTGCACAGGGGCCACCAGGAATTCAAGGTCCACCGGGTGAACCCGGTCCTCCAGGAATTGATGGTCCACCAGGAGCACCTGTAAGTCAAAACCTTAGTGCACTAATGCATTTCACTGTATTTGTAATTACTGTTTGATATTTCATTCAAGATATATAAGAAAGCAAAGGAATGAGTCTTCTATTTTTTTAAAAAAAAAGGTGTTCATTCAATACTTGAAACATAAATGGAATTAATTTTTAGAATTATTGTGTATCTTAGCATACCTACCGACTAAGTAAGAGGAAAACATAAGACGACAGCAACTGTGATTAAAAGAGATTAATTAGAGAACACTGCTTTCGTATCATGATGACAGTCTGAAGGTGTCATAAGATTGGCGACAAACACTGAATTAATCATATTCAAAGTTTGGTTCACGTATTTACGTATATATGCATATAAATAGATCAGAAACACGGTGTAGATTAAACTGTTTAATAGGATTATTCTGATCGTAATAAAATTTTAGTCAACATTTTTTGAAGAGGTAGAATCGATCTGTTCAGTTAGCCTCACCGCTTGACAAGAATATCCACCTACTACTCATTATCAATCGGTAGTATACATTATCTTCTCTGTAGTTTGTCATCTACAACTTAACCATATTCTCACCTTTATGCATAGGCTATTATCATTTGTATAGTGAACATTTTAAGTCTGTATCCTTTTTGCTTTATTCTTCTATTGGGTCAAGTACTTGTTTGATTCCCACTATATTACTGATGGTTTGATAAACTTTTGTTTGTTTTCTTTTGTCTTACAAAAGGGTTTACCTGGACCACCAGGAGAATTTAAGACGGATTATACATCACTGTTTAGTCGCCGAAGAGATTCAGACAGTGGACTAATGGTAAAACATTTTTCAACTTACGACTGATCGCTATATATGTTTGTTTTTTTTTAAAGAAAAGGCGTTCAGCAAAGACTTACTCTATTCGCCGAAATCATTCACAATCTGTACAATCGCATATACTAAGTTGACTTAGCAACAAAAAGAATATTTCCAAGGATGTGTCTTTAGAATTGTAAATTTTAGATAACAAAATTTCGTTAATGGATCGGAAAATAAAATAAGATTAAAAAAGCCAGTTGAATGATGTAATCCAATTGACGGAGTTGAGTGGAACTCCACTAAAATTAAAACTGAACGAGCCGAGTTAATAACAGTGATAATAAGGGGTACAGATTTTATAAGAGGTGAGGGAAGAAAATAATACAGGTAAGAAACAAACAAGCGAAAAATAGACAGAAGAAAAATGACGTATTTGGTGTTAAGATAGGTCAGGTCCACTGTAGATTTAATGACTGAACAAACTTCTTCTGTATTAAGAGTTCAGGATTTAACACATGAATTGCCATTGCTTCTGCAGTTTGAAGAAGTTTGATTCGTACTCTTTTAGTAATAATCCCACTTTGAAGTTGTTTTGTGGGTTTGCTTGGTGTCCTAATTCTATCAGGTATTCCAGAATACAGCTTCTAGAGGACCTTTGTTCTCCTTTATAAAACCATGAGGGTAAGTGTTGGATGACACGTTTGGATGGCAGACGCAGGCTACGATTGACATACCTAGCTCTACACAAGCAGGGGAATTGGTAGATGCATACTGATGAGGCTAGCTAATGGTAGCTTATGCTTCACGTTCATACGAATCACTGGTTTCGTAGAGAAGGTTAGTCAGAGTTCAGCTGCGAAGAAGGTTTTCTTCAGTGAGTGGAATGGGTGGTTTCTCAGTGTTTCTATTGATGAGTCTTCATTGAATTGTAGATTCAGACAGAGAAGTATTTTGGAGGCAGAAAGTGTGGGAGGTTTTGCAGGTTCATAGATTTTGTGATCAAACGTTTTGGGCAGCCATTTTCCAGGAGGATTCTCTTCAGACTGCTTAGCTCCTCTTCCATAGAATCAGGAATATAAATGCTGCGGATTCCATGGCTCAGTGAATGGATCAGGTTTAGTTTGGTATATTGGGACACCCAAAACAGTAAATCTTTGCTGAAAGCCTTTTCTTTTATAAATGTTTTTATAGCTGGCAGTTCTTGTATGCTTTAGTACTGATAGTCTAAATTCTCAAAAATGCTGAATCATACTACATATTTACCCACTTAACGATAAGAAATCTGTCATTCGACGGCTTTTTATTCTGAAACTAATTTTTAAGAGCACATGAGTCAGTAAAGAGATCTTTTTACGTAACTTCACTCCAAAGCTGTAGAATTATTTGGGATATTTATATTTACAGTATGGATAAACAACAGAAGTCAAAGTTTGTTGTCATTCGGAATTAAAGCAAATCGAAGTGGATGAGTAATAGCTATGTCTGAAAAATTCTCAATAGCCTTACATTGTCAGAAAAGTTGACAACTAAGTCGTTGATTGGTGGATGATCGTTTGGAAATGGTCAGTGTCGGACAAGAGAACATAAAGTTGGAAATCAGTTGTGAAAAACACAAAGCGGACTACACAGAGCTTATTATGCAGTTAATCGTAAAGACAAAGAAGAAAAAAAGAATAAACAGTACTAAGGCCATGGTAGTAAAAGAGGCAGGATGAAGGGTTTTTGAGAATAAAGTCCAGGTTTCTCCTCACGGACTGCTAAGGCTTCAGATGCATTAAGAAGATTTAGGCGAAATGCTTTTGAACGACTCGTTCATACTTTGCATACAACTTTAAATGAAGTCTCTGGTGATGCCACATGACCAGAAGTAATCACATGCTGCAGAATTTAACCACTGACAGTTCTGCATTTTCTTTTTGACAACAATGCTGGTAAGTATTAATGACGATGCCTTGACAATATACTGCTAATACAGCCAGTGTAATTGGCTCCACAAGAGCAGGTGAAATGATAAATGTGTATTAAAGTTATCAAATCTTGTCTTTGACGTTTTGGTAATAAGATCATGTTTAGAAGAGAAATGATAGATAATTTTAGAAACGAATATAAATCCTGAGGATAACTAACAAATAATAATTAATCTGTTGAAAATTGTGAATTTAACGAAATTAATGCCTACGTGAAAACAGTTTCTGAACTTCATAACCAAGAAATCAAGTGATTAGCAAGTGCAAGACGTAAATTCATTATTCTAATCAGTGATATAGAATGAAAGCATGATATTATTACTATGTTAACTAATGAAATGTCCTTTCGTGTATGCAGTTTTTGTTCTAGTTTGAGGGTCATCAGTAGTACGCTTCTAATGAAAATCGGACCATGACTGCTAGGGTCCACAGAGTCGGGTTTGAGGAAAAATACTTGCGCTCCAATGGATGAATGTTAAATAGGCTGACCTCGGATACTGGAGGTCCTGGCTTCCATCTCTGATGGTGCCAAGGTTGAGCTCTAAAAACTAGGGCAAAATAGGTCATTAGTACTGCCTGGTTTCCACTGCTATTGAACGGTGATTCTTTTATTTAGTCTACACCACAGCCACTTGCAGTTTTATTCACTATTACTGCTTTCAGAATGCACAACAGATGATATTGAAGTAGAACTTCACAAATACAAATGACTATTTCAGCTTATGATACTCTGTTAGATTACATTACAAATGAGAACCAATAAAATAAACCAAAAACAATGGCAGGCAAGTCAACGATAGGGGAATTAAGACGAATGATAGGAACGAAATAATAGTAATATACAGCATTTCATCATAAGCTGACATTGGTTAGAGAACCATAGGAAAACCTGGGAGTACTAGACAACTGTTTCGTCCTATTCTGGGACTCTTCTGCAACACGTACCCACCGGTGTTCGAACCCAGGATCTTCTGGTTACAAGGCGAGCTCGTATACAATTAAGCCACTGGGACCCGATCCAATGGCCCATGAATTCCAACTTCTGCCAATTCAAGATATAGCGCAACCGCTAGCCAGTGTCTTCGGCGAGTATTTGTCCTCACACCCGACCAAATCCCTACAAGCTAATACTTGAATATTAATATACCTTTGTTTGTGTTAAAATCAGAGAAATACCTAAGTTTATACCTTGTTATTCTCTGTATACCTTGCTGAACAAAATCGGAGTTGAATAATGCAATTTGGTTGCCTGGTTTGGAATGTTTACGTGTTACCCTTACAAAATTATGCTGTTATTTTGTCATTCTTTGTGATGGTGTAACCGTATTTTCGCTATAAGAAGTTCATTTCCGATGTTTTGTTTCAGTTTGGGAAATACTAGCACCATTTCTCAAAAGTGATTGTGCTGATTTACTTCTTGAGGTTAAAAAATGGCGCAAAATATGAGAGCTGTGATGACACTTAGACGTTTGTGTTCAGAGCAACTAATGTCTACAGATGTGTAACTCAATACAGACGAATATTTAACCTATTGCTTCTCTAAATTAGATTTATTTTATTACCTTTATCTTAGCAAGCCGATGAACCCAGTTCTAGAGGCAGAAGAATACGACGTTCCTATGAATGGAGTGATGAAGATTACGATCCAAGCAAAGAAACTGACCCTAATGATGAGGTAAGGTGTAAAATAATATGTTGTTAGGGGATTTTCAATTTTCAATAACTTTCATATCCTGCACTTTACAGCATTCCTAATTCATATGGTACCGTTAAATTAAGCGCATTACGACGCCTTGATTCTTATGATAAATCTGAAGTTAGCATATTAACTGCAGGTAAACTGAAAATTTTTAGTCAACATCACTGTCTATAACATCTTTTCAAATAAATGGACTTGTATGCTGAAAGTAATGTTTATTATTTATTGTGGTAAAGACTGCATTTCATCTTATCTTTACTGTTTTGCCGTGTCTTTGTTCGCAGAACAAATTCCGATAAGTATAATTTTAAGTGGCATTTATGGACTAATTCAATGACAGCAGTAAATCACAACTACCTATTCCCGGTAAATGGATGGTATCAGTATGTAACTGTAGTTACGTACACTAATGTTAGATGATTGAACGCTATCATTAGACAGAACTTCAATTAGGTATCTTCTTTACTGGAACTTGGCAACAAGACCTATCTGCAACCTCAGTAGAACTAATGAGCATTGGGGATTCAAAATTTAGTATTAGAACGAAAAAAGAAGTGAATGTAAATACAAAAATTATTGAAATGGAAAACACAGAGTTGAGAAGCAACAGAATAATTAAGTAAAACCTTAGGAAAATTACTGAAAATTCCAAATTAAATTCTTAATCATCACGTTAGACAGAAGGTTAGGACATTCCTGACAGGAGTGCTATTGACTACACGAGTCTATCAACAAAATCAGTATGTTGTTTCTTTGATACGTGATTGACAAATGCATCTGTAAGGTGATTATTTGAGTAAGAGCAACGAGTAGCGTCATATTCAGATACTGAAATTAATTTAACTTGCGATCTTAACACCAACATATTATATATATATAATTTGTATTTTTTTTGCTTTCAAAGGAGGAGGATATATTTGAAGCTTTACGACAAGTTGGTCGACTTGTAAATAGTTTGAATAGTGGAAGTGGGACTCAATTCAATCCAGCGAGAACATGTCATGATCTAAAAAGAGATCATCCAGAGAAAAAAGATGGTAAGTAGATGCCTACTCTCTTCTCACCTTTTCTTAATCTTATATTTATGGGATACACATAGTGAATTAAAAACATTTCGGGTCATTGAAAAGAAATATGGTATTTATTCTGATACTGTATACTACGACACGCATACGTGGAGTAAAAGTTATATATTGTTCAACTTGTAGTTATGAAGTGTTGCTGAAGTAATTTTTCACTCATTGGTTTTTGTAGGGATTTTTGTTTGATTGGTTGGGGAGATTTCATCATGAACTGAAATCAGTAAGAGATCCACTGGAAAACCTTGGAGTACTGGACAGCTGTTTCGATCTAGTGCGTACTGCTGAAGAGTCCCAAACTAGGATGAGACAGCTATCTAGTACTCCCAGTCGGTTTTCCAATGGTGATCTAACTGGTGTCAGCTTATGAAGTTATTTTTAACGAATTAAAAATTTACAGTTCACTCCACACTATCTGCATTCGGACTACTTGCAAACAGCACAGTAGTATTATCGTTAACTATTACTCTGTCTAAGTAACAAACTGGGAGTAGATTTTGCCATAAATCAGTATCAACTAAAGAACACCCATAGAGCTAAAACAGCTGATCAGTTATTCACTCTGGTGTATATCGCTTAGGCAGTACAAATATGGCATCAGATCTAGGATCATTGCAGTTTGAGAAGAACACGTTCATATTCAACCAATAAGTCGAACTCCAGTATTTCATATTTTTGTTCCTTAAATATTTTCATTTACACTTTGTCATTAGATTGTCATTCAATGTCACAGTAATATTTCACATAATACAAAATTTCGCGATTATTGAGAGGCTCACCAATAGTAAGATAAAATAACTACTCATCACTCCTCGGTTCTCAGTTATAGTTGATTCGTGACAGGAAACAGTTTTAAAATGAACAGGATCATTTTATAACGTATAAATGAATGACAAATAAGTCAGATCTTGGATTAGGTGAATTAACTTCAAGCCTAATAGAAATATTCAAATTCAACAAGAAAACATTCAAGGCTAAATGAAGCATGAAGACGCAGAAGATGAAATTAGGTGTGACCTTTATGAAAAATAAAGTACGAATTTCTTTTTGCATACAACTCTTTAGAGTAATAATCTTACTATTTGGTAAAGCTTATTTGACAAAATCTGTGTAAATATAATGAGGGAAGTTGAAAATGTGAGATATAAAAATGAGTAAACTGAGTAAACTTATGATAATTAACCAAGTTTCCCCTCAGTTTATTCACACGACGTAAATTAAAAATCAGTTTCGTCTTGTAAGTTGTTGCGTAGCTTCTAAAAACGACATATTTACTGAAGTTTTAGAACTACAGGCCTTGCAGCTACTAACTTGACGCTAAACAGACCGGGTTGAAATATCAAGCTACTTATAAAATCACACTTTCTCTTCAGTCATCGTAAGTTTAGTTAACTTGCTCTATGGGTTACCGATTCTTGATCGACTGCACATCTGCCCGTAACACCAGCTGCATATTTAGATCATCGAGTATCCATATGCATTTGGTTGAAGTGGTAAGGTGATTCAGTAGATTAATTAATGACCAAAATATCTTAGACATATTTGCCTTTAAAAAATCGATTTTGATGCAAATAAATAATTGGCAACATGCTGAGGGTTGCTGACTTGTGACTTGCAGTGACTTACGTTTTATGTCGTTTCACCGCAACTCCAGATAAACTGCGACACATTTAGGATGTGTCTTTTGATATTTTTTCCTTATTTTGTGATTTTCAGTTGTACAGAATTTGATTGAGTTCAGTTTCAATACATTAATTTTCATCTCCTTTGAGATGTATTCAAGTCACACTTTAACCAGACATACAGTAAGTGAAAAAACACAAATACATAGATATATATCCTAGTTTGGGACTCATCGGCAGTATACACACACACCGAGTTTCGAACCCAAAACCTTCCGATTACAAAGTTATCTCTCATACCATTCAGCCATTGGGACTAGTTTCAGTGGCCCATGAATTCTAACTTTTATATTTAGAGCGACCACCAGCTAATGTCATAGGCAAGAAATCCATCCTAACTCCCTACTGGATGCATATAGCTGGTCAAAATGTCTCACTAGAACCTCAGGAAACGCCGTCTTGTAACCAGTCACTAACGTGCATCAGTTTAATTTGTTTACTGTCGATGATTTCCAAACTAGGATGAAACAGCTGTCCAGTACTCCGTGTTTGCAATGGTTATATAACTGTTATCAGTCTGTGGTCTAACTCGAAAAATAAATCAAATCCTTACAAATCAGCTCTTGAATGTATATATATATATATATATATATGGCTTATTAGTAGTAAGTTGTCACTTCATACAAGAAGTATGCCATTAATTAAATCACTTGTTCAATTAACAGAACACGTGTTCACTGTTTAATATGCAAATAGGAAACGCTTGATTCTAAATTAAATATACACTACGCCAGCAAAGATAACAGAATAACTTATTACACTAAGAAGCAAAAATAAAAATCTGACTTATAAAACCAAACATGGTTTAAATGCTTTTCTATACATAAATGTTTATATATTTAATTTGTTTTATTTAATCCACTAAGTATGAATTGTTAAATAAACTGTAAGCCGTGTCAATAAATTGTCCAAAGTACGAACTTAGTTAGTTGTATGTATAAAGAAAGTTAGCTATAGCTAACTTTCAAAGTTCAAACAGAAATTCGCTTATTAACTATTCGTAATCTAGGATTTCATCATGAGCTGACATTAGTTAGAGAACCATTGGAAAACCTGGGAGTACTGGACAGCTGTTTCGTCCTAGTTTGGGACTCCTCAGCAGTACGCACCCACCGGGATTCGAACCCAGGACCTTCCGGTTACAAGGCGAGCTCGTATACCATTAAGCCACTGGGACCCGATCCAATGGTCCTTGAATTCTAACTTCTGCCAATTCACGACATAGCGCGACCGCTAGCCAGCTGGTAGGTAGTTACCTGGGTTCCAGTGGGAAGTCGTGACCAGTAGGGTGCAGCTGGTCGGGTGTGAGGACAAATACTCGCCGAAGACATTGGCTAGCGGTCGCGCTATGTCGTGAATTGGCAGAAGTTAGAATTCAAGGACCATTGGATCGGGTCCCAGTGGCTTAATGGTATACGAGCTCGCCTTGTAACCGGAAGGTCCTGGGTTCGAATCCCGGTGGGTGCGTACTGCTGAAGAGTCCCAAACTAGGACGAAACAGCTGTCCAGTACTCCAGGTTTTCCAATGGTTCTCTAACTAATGTCAGCTCATGATGAAATCCTGAAATCAATCAAATCCCTACAAACCAACACTTGAATATTCGTAATCTGTTATCAACACTGGCCATGAATTGACTTCAGTTTGAGAAATCAGGGCATAGGGAACATATGTTTTGTCTTCTTTCGAGAATTCTCAAGGGATCGAACAGACGAACTTTCAGCTTAGCTTATTTAAATAATAGTAATATGTAACAGTCCACTATTTTTAGGACTCTCTGAAAACACTTGTTTAAAAGATTGGTATCAATGTGACCAGATGAAGGTTGGAGTGAAAAACTAAAGTCCATAATGAGCTCAATCTTCATACTTTTGAGTAGTAGCTGCCAGCAAGGTTTTTGTCTCATAAAATATGTGGATTTTTCTTACCATTGGAGTTACATTAGTAAAGACATGTATCTGTTCACTGAAAATTAATGCCTCAGATATGCCGTCAGTAATCTTGACAACTTAATAGATGAATTTGTACTGTGTCTTTGTAGTATGTCAGCTCGGTTTGTCTAAAATCTTAGCTTTTGAAATTAGGAAAGCCAATAGAGTGAAAATATTTAACAGTTAGGTTAAGATAAGAAGTTATTACAGTTATCCATTTCGGAAGAATTTAAATTCTCTTATATTCTTTTTCTGCCATCAACTTTTCACTTAGCAAACTCAAGGGTTCTCTATATGGTTCGATTTATTTTTTTAATTCAATCCAGTTACTTTTGATATTTGTCTACTTACCCAATACATATGGCATTATGCGTGCAAATAGGTCTTAACTGAGTATGCACAACTGGCTCAGTTGTTACACTGTTTATTACAAATCAATTCCCCTTGTCTTTTTTGAAAGTAACTTTTTTTATTAGTTGTTATTACCTAGAAATAAAAAATAAAATTAACAGGATGATAGATAGTTTCTCTCTAGATATGTTTCTGTATATGATTTGAAGTGGAACGATTGGATGCTTTCCAAAAGAGCCCAGTCACAATTCATCGGCCAGTATTTACAACCTCATAACTAACCTCAAACTCTTTGGTGCATAATACTTTGCTCCCTATCTTTAATTTTGAAGGAATCAAAGTCAGTGTTTAGCAAGGTAATGATACTTCAGTACTCGAATTACTGTATTCTCACCCTTAAAGTTGTGGAAATATGACTGGTTGCCTTAAGAGCCTGATTTTCAGCCAACAGGTCACGGGTTAGAGTTCCACTCCACTCATTTCAGCCTGGGCAACTGTCTAGCATCACAAACCACCGCATAATAAGTGTGACTTTTAGCATGGTACGTGAAGGATCTTCTGCCGTTAACTGATTTCAAACAAATTCTGGCAGCTTAAGTAAGATGTACGTAATGATAAACTTAGAGGTTATGAATTGAACTCTTCGAATGATGTATTTATCTGGTGGTTAATCATTATTCACCTCTCCATTATCAGAAAATGAAATTCTCAGCTGGCAATTTTCAAAATTATTTTTGAAATTAGCATTACGTTAGCTGTCCTTTGCTTGTCTGACTCATTTTTTCATCACTAAACAGAGACTTAATTCTTAAGGAAAGTGGAAATCATTACGTCACCAAGTCGATTACCCTGTACCTAACTCATTATTGAACTGCAGGATATACTATCTGGTCAGATCTAAGTGTCAATCCAACCTCTTCGGATTCTATTTGACTATTGCAAGGATGCGTGACACACACCTATATCCTTATCTCATAATTCCACTTGCTATATATT